ACACATTATTTATTTTCAACATTTTCAATGGCTTAAGTTTAGAAATAATGTTTGCATTACACACCAGAAGGTTTACGATTCCATCAAGCTTACCAACCAACTCGAACTTAGCAACCGACATAAATTCAAGAAAGCACAAAAACAGATCATCCGCAACAGTTTCAGCAGCTTTTTAAAACAGATAATTATTGATTAAATTTTGGAAGTAGGTGATCTCACTGTTTTTCTTCTGTTTCCTATTATGTAAAATCCAGGCATATTTGGGTTGAAATATCATCAATGTCTCTAAATTTCAAGTTTTTAAGAATAATATTGCAAGTAAAATGGATTTAGGCTTTTTTTGTCAATTTCTCTGTAAAAAAAAGTCACAGGAAAACACATTTTGATTGCAGAGTGTTGAATAGGGTAAAAAAAATGTTAGAACAAGGACTTAGTCTAAAGAAACAACATATGCATGTAGCAAAAGTCACTCAATATGTTTAGTGTATGAGCTTTCATTATATTGACTTGGCTACTTTTTTTTTTTATCAATAAATGACCTTAAAAACATTATCATGGCATTTTCACAGTATGCATCAAGATAATTAAAGGTGAGAATGCAATACCAGTTTCAGTAAAATGCATTGTATATGAAACAGGATATGACATTCACAATATCCTAGTGTAAATGCTATACTAACAAGCTAATTCAAAGAATCTTTGTCCCCTGCTTAAGAAAAAAAGAAAAGCATGTACGGATCCAGAGGGATGGGGGTCAGAGGGTGGTGGGAGTGTGGCGACGGGACACTTTAAGAGGGGCGGGAGGGTCCACAGAGAGTTATGATATAAAATGTCATTGCAAAAGCTTGAAACCTTGAGATTTTGCTCGGAAATGTTTTACACACGAACAGAATGTATAAATTTTTTACCTTGACTTTTGACCTTTTGACCTCGAAATCGATAGGGGTCTGCTTTAGGCCATATGGAGTTGTGGTATAAAATTTCATTGCAAAAGCTTGAAGGCTTCTTGAGAAATCGCGCGGAAATAAAAGTGTTAAAACAGAATTTATGAATTCATGACATTGACCTTTGACCTTAAAATCAATGGAGGTCTTTCTTAGACCACTGGGAGTTGTTATGTAAAATTCCATTGCAAAGGCTTATTAAAGGCTTCTCGAGACATCGCGCCCAAACGAACGTGTTATAGAAAGACAGACTGACGGAAGGACGGATGCATGGACAGAAGGACCCAAATTAATAACCCCACTTTCAGTAAAAGTGAGGGACAAAAGGGCAAATTTTATTTCCCATTGTGACCTTGAACTTCCACCTCCTGTCTGTATTTACCTATTTATGTGATGCTAGTTATTGTCCACCAGAATTGTAATTTGTTTCTTCATAATTATGGTGTTTAAAACACAAGTATTATGACACAGAAAATAACTGTGCTTAGTTTCCTTAAATTTCCATCTAAATCAAGCCATTTTGACCTTGACCCTTGACCTTTTGTCATGAAAATTGATTTTTCTCTTTGTTTTTGCTATTGTGTATCATATATCTAAATTTGGTTTTAATCCATTGTAAAATACTCAGATATTTATATGGAAACTGATTATAGATACCCATTGCCCTTGTCAGGAATTCTTAGAAAAAGCATAAGTTTGTAACCATGGTAACATGAAAACGAAATATGAGTGTGTCTTTGCAGTTTCTAATATAACTTTATATGGACTTTCAAACCAATCTATTTATTTTTTCCCAAATGTCCGCAAAATTTTATATCAGACTTTTCAAAAGAGCCCAAAATCTACAATTTTTCCTCAGAAAAATCATACTTAAAAACGGGGGATATTTTTTCTATGAGGTAAAGTTACTCAAATACTAGAAAAAATTTAATGAACTATTAAAATGATGTATTTTGGCAAAAAGATAAATTCATGTAAATATCTTGTTCTATTGAAGACTTTTAATTAGTCAAAAAGGATCATTTTTCATCAAAATTTAGCGTTTTTTAGGCCATGAAAAATGTATGTTGGTTGCCATGGTAACCATTGACCATAGCAACCATTTTATTATGAATTTTAGTTTCATACATCAATATAGGAATGTGTTCCAAGTTTCATAAAAATCCAAGATCTAGCGTGCCGCACTCCCTATATAAGAATTTAAATGTTTACAGAGAATGGCCATTAAGGTCTTCGGACGGAAGACCTCTCGTTGCTCGCAACGAGAGTAGTGGAAAAACCAGGGTTCTACGCCAGTATTTTACTATAGCGCCTCTCCATAGCGCCTCCCTGAGCAGGAGGCGCAGGAAATGACGTCAAGATGGGCGGGGTATTAAAAGTTGATGGACAAGACCCTCCCCTTTCGAAGGTCGTGACCTACCCCCCCCCCCCCCCGAACAATGACTGTGCATTGTTCGAGAAGACAATGGGAGTGTGACAACCCCAAGGTTATGACCTAGTTAAGCTATCACCACCCTCATACTAGGATTTGTTGGAGATAAAAAAGGTGAACTCCTATAATGGTATTATTTTACAATACTGCATTCATTTCTATTCATAAAAAAGAATGATAAACTTAAAGTGCAATCACAAGCTCTGTGAATTCAATGTTGATAATCTTTATGTTATTCTTTAATGTTTACATTTTTGGGGTGGGTACGTTAAGGTGTGAGATGATTCATGTGTGTGAGAAAAAATAAACACGTACTTAATGTTTAAGAATTGATACCGTCGCCCTCATAATAGGGTATTGTTATCAATTTTCTAAAGAGAGCGACGTGGAAAGAATGTGACCTTTCACATGAGATTACGATGGTAGCCCAAGCATTCAATCCTTTTCAGAAGACGAACGATGAAATTAAAGTGCAAACACCAGCTCTGTGACGTCAGGATTTTTCATTTTTTATTGTCTCCTTTTTTTCATTTTTTTTTAAAGCGCAAGTTGTTCATGTCCGCAAAAAATAAATAAATAAATAAATAAATAAACAAGTTTTGGTAAGTTTATTAATTTGACAGTGAATACTATTTTTACACTACTGATATCAATTGTGTTCCTTCATCACTAACACGGAAGAGTAAGTTGCCCTGAGCTACTGCAATACAGGTGGGAACATAATGAACCGTGCTACTTTTTAAACCTAATGCCACAGATGGGTGCCCATGCATATGGGTATAGACTCTCGACTCTTAAGGGAAATTCATTCAATGAGGTACAATAAAGGAAATAGTTTTTATTATTATATCTCTGATGTTGAAGTTGTGACAGATCAACCAATGAAAGCCGTTGTTTTTTACGCATCACCGAGAAATTGCATGCATTTTGGACTGTTAACAAAAGAGAATGAATGTATTGTATAAGGGGCACCAAAAAGGACCATTTAATCAAATTTAACAGAAATAAATGATCCAGTTAGATTGAATGTTATTTTTTTAGTTTCTATGGAAATTCAAAGAGTATAAAATAACGTCTTGTAAGTATTACACGTTAAATAAATCACATGCGTTGAGAAGAGGTGTGACTTGGATTTAAACGAATAATTTAATTTGTAAGGTAAGAGAACACTCTGTTAATTATAAAATATTGGAAAGAAAATGTTAAACATAAAATACTTAGAAACACAATGTACATCATAAGATATTAAAAATGTGACCACGTAGCCTAAACTGATACCTTTGTTTGTGTTTATCTGTCACAGTAGAGTAAACATATTTACTACACAAAGTTCTTACGGGTGTTGTACAAGTATTTAAATGCTGCAATGGATGAAAATCAGTGCTCAGCGAAATAAGACGGTTATTGTTATACGAACAAAACTAACTGATGTGTGTTCTAAAGCTGTAGTGGCAAAAATTACATTTCTTTATGAAAAGAATTAAAAGTCGACTACCCCTGCTTTTTAGCGAATATCGTACACAAGTAAGAAGCAAGAGTACTAAAGTACATTTCATTGTCAAATACTGAGACGTTCTAAAACAATTAATGTATTACTAGTATACTTTTTTTCTAACACAAATTAGGTTTTTTCCCTAATATAATAATAGTAATCTAAGCAATGCTTGTAGGAATTTAAGGCCGTTAAACATATATTCTAAAAAAAAAAAAGAAATGATAGCTAAATTTAAAAGATTGTTCTCTTATTTAATCAAAAGTCATTCCATTTATGATATAATTAGTTCTGGATATATCGTTTGAATCACTTTATTAAAAGAGAATTATAAATATTTCTTTTTATGTTAAATATATTGATATCAATCACAGTTGCTCAGATCTTGAATCACGGGACCAGCCGCACACACCTGCCATATTTATCAAAAGTCCTTCAAGAGGAAATCAGATCTACAACGACATCAGAGAACGGTTCATGGGTCTCAAGAGTTACACTGTCAGCAGTGTGGAGCACATTTTTCGAGGTCAGATAATTATCTGCGACACAAAAGAAAACATCAGCGAGAAGTCTCGCCACTGTCAGAGATACCTACACTGAATCAAGTCGGAGGTGGAAATGGCGAGCAAAACAAGCACATCAAAGAGAGAATAAATTCAGAAAACCCAGCAATTGGCGAAAATACGGTTGATTGTATCACCAAGGAAGAGGCTATCGGCGGAAACCTCATGAAGATGACAATACCAGCCGACGATCAAACCAGATTCGACCCCTTAACCTTTCTCAAATCCCGCGAGTAGAAAATTAGATTAGTATTGAAAGAGGCACTAAACAAGAGACAAAGAATCAAGTTTTATTCAACTTTACAGGTTTTATTTAAAATGTTAGAAAAAAACCTTTAAAGATTTTAAAAAATTGAAAATGAAAAACTAGTATATCTTAAACTATGAAAGCATTGTTTTTGTAACAATATAAAACATAATTTAAAGGGGAGAGAAAAATGAATTAACTCACTATTAATGTAATATATACATAGGTCAGATTTTCCAAGAAAAAGGCAGATCAGGTCGAGGTAACAGAGACTTACTTCCACGGCCGATGTCATATTGTTTTGAAAAGTGAAGACATTGACATGGCCATAAAAGAAAGCATCAAGAAGATGTTTACCGCCATCATAGAGTTTCAGAGGGAGGGAAGCAGCTGGTCACTGGATAAAATCTTGGGAGTAAACGTACACGTTGTGAAATATCAACCCATCAAAGGATCCAGTTTTCTTCCCCTCCCAGTAAAACTAGCCAAAAAGAAAGTCATCGTTAACGTTCAAAACACAGACGACAAATGCTTTATGTGGTCGATTCTAGCAGCCCTTTATCCCACCGCAGGACATCATGGACACCCAAACAGAATGAACACCTATAAGCAGTACCAAGAAGAACTCGATTTCACGAACATTACGTTTCCTGTCCGCCTTACCGACATCCCCAAATTTGAGAAAAGGAACTGCCTGTCTGTCAACGTGTTTGGTTACGAAAAGGGAGAAGTTTATCCTCTTCATCTAACGAAAGAAAGAGACGTGCGTCATGTGAATCTCCTTGTTCTATCTAAGGGAGACAAATCGCACTATTGCTGGATTAAACATTTTAACCGGTTGTTAGCAGGTCAAACCAGAGACAGCAATCAGTACTATTACTGTCATTACTGTTTGCATGGGTTTACGAAAGAAAGACTGTTAAACAGACATCTTCCTTACTGTCGAATCCATGGGGCTCAAAAGACTGAAATGCCCACCGAGGAAGAAAAATGGTTGCGGTACACAGATCTGTCCAAGCAACTGAAGGTCCCATTTGTCGTATATGCTGATTTTGAGTGCATACTCGAGAGACAATACGGTTGCCAATCGAATCCAGAAAGGTCTTCTACCATTAAGCTGGCAAGACATATACCCTCTGGATTTACGTACAAAGTCGTAGGTATTACGGATGATCTCACAGAAAACCATGTGACCTACAGAGGTCCCAATACCGCAGAAGTCTTCGTAGAGCACATGGTCAGATTGGAGGAGCGTCTTCTTCATGGTTTCCGCAATCCAAAGAAAATGGTCATGACGGATGAAGACAAAAAAACTTCCCAGGACGCCACGGTCTGTAGCATATGCAGTAAAGTCTTGACTGGAGAGGTCGTCCGCGATCATTGCCATATCACTGGCAAATTCCGGGGAGCAGCCCATAATACCTGCAATCTTAATTTCAAAGTAAGGGAGAGAATCCCTGTTTTCTTCCACAATTTGAGAGGATACGATGCCCACCTCATCATGTCGGCAATTGGTAAAATGAAACACAAAAGAATTAACTGCATCCCTCAAAATCACGAGAAATATATATCTTTTTCTTTGGGGAAACTCGAATTTATCGACTCGTTTCAGTTCCTCCCCACATCCCTGGAGAAACTTGTTAACAATTTAGCTACAGCAGATTTAAACAAATTCAAGCACCTAAGTTCTTACGTTCATGGGACGCATCCCGGGAACGAAAATAAGAAAATGCAGCTGCTCAGTCGAAAAGGTGTCTATCCATATAGATACATGAATTCGCTCTCCAAATTCAGAGAAGAGTCTCTTCCACCGCAGAATGCCTTTTACAATGATCTAGACGAAAAACATCTATCGGAAGATGATTATGTTCATGCCCAGACAGTGTGGAACACCTTGAGAATTCAAAATTTGGGTCAATACCATGACCTCTATATGGAAACAGACGTCCATCTATTGGCAGACGTTTTCGAAAATTTTCGAAATCTTTGCCTGGGTATATATGGATTAGATCCCGCCCACTTCTATACTTCTCCTGGACTTGCCTGGCAGGCTGCTTTGAAAAGGACAGAAGTAGAACTGGAACTTTTGACTGATCCAGACATGCACTTGTTCATCGAAAAGGGGTTGAGAGGTGGTATATCCACAATCACTAAACGTTATGCCAAGGCCAACAACTCCTACCTGGATGGTTACGACCCAGAAAAGCCATCAAATTACATTATCTATCTGGATGCCAACAACCTTTATGGTTGGGCCATGAGTCAATCTCTACCCACTCATGACTTAGAATGGTTACCCGAAGAAGACCTGGCTGACTTTGACATAACCTCAGTATCTGATGATGATGATCACGGATTTATTCTAGAGGTGGATTTGGAATACCCGCAACATCTCCATGACCGCCACAACGACTACCCTTTAGCTCCTGAACCTTTTGAAATCCAGCCAGAAATGTTATAGCCATACCACCAGTCATTAATGGCTGATCTTGGAATGAAAGGTATTGCTTGTAGCAAACTGGTGCCTAACCTCTATGACAAGAAGAATTACGTGGTCCATTACCGAAATCTTCAGATGTATCTGTCTCTGGGTCTGCAACTGACTAAAATCCACCGAGTACTTAAATTCCAACAAAGCCCGTGGCTGAAATCTTACATTGATTTCAACACAAGTATGCGGAAGGAAGCTAAAAACGAATTTGAAAAGGATTTCTACAAACTCATGAACAACTCTGTGTTTGGGAAGACCATGGAGAATTTAAGAAAGAGAGTGGATATCCAATTGGTTCATCATGAAAAAAGGCTACTCAAGCTCACAAAGAAACCAGAATTCAAGGTAAAATAGATTTATCGGGGACCTTCTGTATACAATGATATATGTATTGAATGGCATGTTTTGTGATGTTAAATTTTGTAGTCCCTTGTATAAAAAGTTTTCCATTGTTATTTTGATATCCTTTTCTTGTGTACTTTATCATTCTTTTATTTCAGTCCTTTAAAATTTTCAACGAAGATCTGGCGTCCATCGAACTAATGAAACAGAAACTTGTGTTGAATTGACCTATCTATGTGGGATTTTCCATTCTAGACCTGTCAAAGACCCTCATGTTTGACTTTCACTATAACTACATGAAGTCAAAGTATGGTCCGAGAGCACAACTTCTTTTCACAGACACGGATTCTCTCTGTTACGATGTTGCCACTGAAGATCTCTATCGTGACTTGGAAGAAGACAAAAATTTATTTGATTTCAGTGCATATCCTAAACAACATCCTTTGTATGATGCGACCAACAAGAAAGTAATTGGCAAAATGAAGGACGAGACCGAATCTGTTCCAGTGAAGGAATTCGTAGGTTTGAGATCTAAAATGTATAGCATGAGCCACGGCGACACAGAAAAACGAACCGCTAAAGGTGTATCTAAAGCTGTCATTCGCTCTAAGTTACGTCACGACCTGTACACGCAGTGTCTTTTTAATAGGGAGACACAAATGGAGTCAATGACTCTCTTCCGCACAGAAAAACATGATATATTTACTGTAAAGTTAAATAAAACGACTTTATCTGCTTATGACGACAAGCGATTCATTCTCGAGGATGGAATACAAACTCTTGCACACGGCCACTGGCGGTGTCAAAAACTGTAATGTACTATTATCATAGAGGGACTTCTTGTACGATAATTCATTCATTACCCTGTAGTATATGTTAAAATTCTTAAGCATTACATGATGTCAATCCATATATTTTATTGTAAACAAAAGTTCTTATATGTTATAAATATTATATGTCATATAATCACGAATACTTTTTGATAGCTTATTAACAAAGATAATATATAGACGGAAACACTCATGTAAAGATTTTAATGTATTTTTGTTATAATGAAATGTATGTAATTTAAATAGATGAACACTGTATTGTGCAATTATTAAAAATAAATTAAGATAAAACATCAAATGTTGTTTGTTGTTTTTTTTATGACAAAGAAGTTGGCATGATAATGCCTTTGTAAGAAGCAGCCATGAGCCAATGTTAGATATGTAGATTTCATCCCGAAGATCCCGGGGGCTCCGCGCCGGAGTCCATGGGTTCCGGAGTCCAAGGGTTTCGGAATCTGAGGATTCCGGAGTCATGTATTCCGGAATCTTCGGAATCTAAGACTGATTTTTGGAAGTATCCGGTGTAAATAAAGATCACGTGACTTAGAATATACAATAAAGTAGAAAGCAGACTGGAAGTCATTCACGTCAAAGACTGCAAAGAGTGAAGATGTTTCAGTGTTCTGATTGTCAAGGCTATTTTTCCCGAAAGGATGCACTGAAACGGCATGAGAGAAACATACATGGTGCTATGAGACGACAGGAGGAGGTGGTGGCACAGCCACCACCACCACCTCCACCGCCACCACTTCCGCCACAACCACCGTCACATCCACCACCACCACCATCGCTTCCTCCACCACCACCACCACTACCACAGGACTTTACATTTCTGCATCCTTTTACGGCCAACGTCTCGGGACCTACCTCTTGTGGCAAAACATTTTTTGTTAAAACGTTACTCCAACACTGCCAGACCATGTTTTCCCCACCTCCAGAACGCATTCTTTGGCTCTATAAGCGGTGGCAACCTTTGTATGCCATTATCCAGAGAACGGTTTTCCCAAAAGTGGAGTTTATCCAAGGCATTCCTCTAGATTTGGATCAAGAATCTTTCATTCATCCCAGAACGAGGAATCTTGTGATTCTAGACGATCTCATGTCTACGACCGCCAAGGATTCCAGAATCAACGAATTATTTACGGATGGAAGTCATCACAGAAATATGTCCGTTATGGCCATCAATCAAAATCTTTACTATAACAAAGATCCCACCCAGAGAAGAAATTGCCACTATCTGGTCCTGTTTAATAACCCCGTGGACAGACAGCAAGTCATGACTTTGGCTAGACAGATGTATCCTGATAATCCCCAGCACCTGTTGAGACATTTTAAAGAAGCCGTCTCCAAGCCTTATGGGTACCTACTGATCGATTTAAAGCCGACTACACCCGAACATATGCGTCTGCGCACAGACGTCTTAACTCCTTTAAAATCGCATGACGCAGACCACATCTCTCATTATCGTGAGGACACGCCTGACATTCAGACGTACCAAAAGCACGAGCAACCTTCCACAGTTCATTTTTGGGAACCCTCAGAACAAACAGAAATTACCTTTCTTTCTGAAGAAATGCCTTCCTGCGACGATTGTGGCCTTGTGTTCGAAAACATGCATGACTTGCAGAGACACGTAAAAAGATGGTGTCCGGAAAACATTCCTCTTAAAAGGAAGGTGAACGATGCAGAAATGGAGGAGGACCAATCAAATTGGATCCCATTCGAACAAGAGAAGATCAAAGTAGATAAAGAAGATGACCGCGAACACGAAGTCTTTAACTTTCTCATGAAGAGGGCTAAGGAAGATAACGAAAAATTATGGGACCTGAAATATGATAAATACATTAAAGAAGGTCTATCAAGAGAAGACGCCAGAGTTCAAACGGAGGAAAAAATGAGCTCCAAAGACCTTAAGCAATTCTCAGAAAAGTATGGACAACTCATCCTGTATATCCTTCAGTTGCAAAACGGTTTCATTCACACAAAGGTCATGGATGATGTGAAAGATTTCCTGTCCGAGGGGTATGGCGAGCGTAAAGCCATCAGGATGGCTTTGAATAAGAATCGCCCTGTCCTTGAGGAAATGTGGGACACAGAGAGTGATATGGAGACCGACGATGGTTCAGAAAATGAAGATGAAGAGTACGACAGTGAAGAATCTGAGGAAAATGCTTAATTAACTTTTGAGAAAAAAAAAGTTGCAAAATTACTCTGCTTTTATAATATTCATTTATCAATATTATATTTTATAATGTTACATTGCAAGTTTATTGTGTGAATAAATTAAAAGAAATAATAAAACAAGTGTGATGTTTGATATAAATGTAAACAGTTTAACTCAATAGATTGCATTTGAAAACTGATGCATAATACAATGTTTTATAAGAATTTATTTTCTTATGCATTTCTATAAAATGATTGTATTTTATGTAACCTTGTATAAATAAAATATAGAAATACATCAGATGTGTTGTTTTGTGGAAATATATACAAAACCATTTTCTTCTTGATCATGTGATTCCAAGAGTATATATTTGTTAGAGGATCACATGTATCACCCATTTCTCAGTCGTCATTCAAGGAGGTAATATGTCTTGGGAGGATTATCTCAAGCAAGTGTATTTCGACCCTGTTAATGCCGGGAGTTTTTCGGGACCAGACAAACTGTATCGATATGTGCGCAAACAAGGAAAATACGTCCTGAGCAAATATAAGATCAGGAAATGGTTGCAGAGACAAGAAGCGTACAGTCTACAGAGACCAGTTCGAAGGCAATTCAAAAGAAATAAAGTTATCACCGTTGGCATTGATGATCAGTGGGATGCAGATCTCATGGACATGTCCAAATATGCCAAGCAAAACGATGGGGTTGCTTTTGTCCTCGTTGTTATTGATATCTTCTCCAAGTTTCTGTGGATGCGCCCCCTAAAGGACAAAAAAGGTCAAAGCGTCACTTCAGCCTTTGCAAACATTCTTCAGGAAGGTCGACGTCCTACACGAATACGAACAGACAAAGGACAGGAATTCCGATCCCGAGCTTTTAATACACTATTGAATGACCAAAGCATCGATCATTTGTATGCCCAGAACACTGAAGTCAAGGCTAATTATGCAGAGAGGGTGATTAAAACGATTAAGGCTAAAATATATCGATATATCACCTTTAAACAATCTTATCGTTACCTAGATAAACTACAAGACTTTGCCAGAAATTACAATACAACACATCATAGAACGATTGGCATGCCTCCCGATAAAGTGACCAAGGCTAAGGAAACAAACTTGTGGTGGAGGATGTACTGGCCCAAGAAGACACCCGTCCCGTTCAAAACTAAACGAGTGAGGAAACCCTTTAAATTTAAAATCGGGGACCACGTTCGCATCAGCCATCTGCGAAACATCTTTACCCGTGAATACGATGAGAAGTGGTCTGGAGAAATTTTCCTTATATCAGAAAGGCGTTTGAGAGGAGGAATCCCAATATACAGACTCAAAGACTATTTAAACGAAGACATTAAAGGAACTTTTTACCAACCAGAGTTGCAGAAAGTGGATTCGAGGGAAGACGATTTATTCAAAGTAGAGAAGATACTAAAATCAAAAGGACGTGGACATAATAAACAATATTTTGTTAAATGGTTACACTGGCCTTCTAAATTCAATTCATGGGTTAATGCTGATGATGTACACGCTTTTACACAGTTTTAAAACTTTGTAATTTATTATGAAAAGTCCTGTATGCATGTCATTTTATCAATAAAGGTATCATTAAAGAATACGTGTTTTTTTTTATTCAGT